AAAAGCATAAAAAAGAATACAAAATAGAAAATATCTGCATTGTGTGCCAATGTGCTACTAATTAATTGCCTGCTACCAAGATGAGCTTTCCATGTTTCATGCAAGGCTTTGATATTCTTAACAAAGAGTTAGCTGTAAAATCTACTCTGCCTCTAGAGGATCCAAACCAACTGAACAGACCTTGAACAGAAATTGATGAGACAGTCTGGAATAAGCTTTGGGTGTGATCTCTCTAGGAGGAGGAGGAGGAGAGGGCGACGAAGTGGCCCCCACCGGAGTACAGCAGAGAGGAGAGAGCAGAGGTGAAGGGCTCTCCCTCCATCATCCAAGAAGAGGAGTGTGCGGCGGGGGCGGGACAGTGACACTGCAGCTCCCACAGGGGGCGCTGTGGCATCCTCTTCACGCCAGCCCGGCCCCTTCAGATAGACCTCATTGTCTGGAGAGACAGAGGACAAAGCATAGCTAAATATTACAAAGTTCTTAAAAGGTTAGTTCACCCAAATGATTACTCATGTACCTTTATTGGTGTCTCTCAATTTAAGTTTGGTTTTATTAACCCAGGTTTTCAGACGTCTGCCTCCATCCTAATACAATGAAGATAAATGAAAATGTGTTTTAGGTGCTCACAGCATTTAGTAAATCCACTGACCCTTCCAAAGCTCTTCTGGAATCGCAGCTAACCTGCCCTTTCCTGAGATATACTATGTGCTAGGCCAGTCGTTGAAAAGACAAAGACTTTTTAAGATGATTAAAAGATAAAAGCGAGGTATATAGTTACATCTTAAGTTAGCTAGCTAGTTAGCGAGTTTTGGTGTCATCAATCTTGTTTCCATTAGGAAGCAGCTGTTGTCAATAAAAAAAACACTGTACATACACCAAACAGCAGACAGACACAGTTACTGACTAGCTGGTGAACATTTTGCTCTTTGTCTGTTTCACCATTACCCATTTCTAAGGTGGTACATGTCAGTGTTGATTATACAGCTCATTTTCACTTTCACTTTCCGAAACATAATAGTCTATTTGCCAGCCAATAGATCCCTATTGCGAACCTGTAAATGTTGAGTACCCCAAAGTTTTATGTAAAAAATGTAAAGTATGGATAATTGTGTTCATAAATATCCTACAATTGGTAATCGAGTTGAAGTTAATTCAGTTATTTCAAATACATAAGTTGTCTGTCCAATCCGATCTGATTCTGTGCTCTCTAAGACTTCTAAATTGACGGAAATTTAATTGAAATCAGCCCGGAATATCAGAAATTGATTTAGCATTCTCAATAACCCCAAATATCAATCAATTGTCTTCTTTCTTTCCATCTGGCCATTATTCTGCCTGCAGCAGTAACCCCAGTGGCAAAAACACACGTCAATGACATGATGCTGTGCAGCAAATACATAAGCAGAGCTGAAGAAATATTACATCTGAACATTGGCACCAATGGCACTGAGCTCTCTTAATTATGAAATGCTGGTCCAATGTATTAAACATATAAATTATCTAAAAATTGACTCATGAGAGTTGAAATATGGCCAGTTCTGGTCATAATATACTTTGAAAATATCAGAAATTGATTCAGCAGCCTTAATAACCCCCCAAAATTGCTCCGATGTTGTCCAAATCGGCCAAACAGTTGTTGAACTATTATCCATATAGATGAAAATGCTAATTAAATCCAATTATTCTAATTGATAATTGTTAGCATTGAGCAGTTCGATCAAGTTTTTTCATTGTTCCATTTCCTCCCTTTGCTGTCTCTAACTCTCCCTCTCTGTAGTCTCTCTGTTGCTGCATCCTAATTGAAGGGCTGAATTCTATGAAGGACACGGCCCACAAAGGTGTGTCCTTCATAGGCCCAGAGGGCCAGGCTTAACTTGCTCCTCACAGCTCTCCAAAAGTGAAGCCAAAACACCTTGATCACCCCCTGGTGGCTGACTGCAGTAAAGGTCAGTATGTCACACATCAAATACATTTTCCCCAAAGATAGTTTCTGTCATTTTAGGTAGTTCTCATCACACTGATGTATGTTGAAGTGTACATTTTTCTAATCAGTTTTTAATTAGTTATTTATTGATATAAAAAGGGGGTTTCATGGTTAACAGCTGAGATGTATGGGTGGGACTTTGATATCGATGCACCAACCCCAAGCACTACTGCGCAGACTCAGGACAGGTTGTATCATTGTGATACAGCATTATGGCTGAATATGCACTGAGAGGTTTTACAAAAAGTCTCTTTCCTGGTGAAAGACCTCTGTTATAACCTGATATCACCTACTGTATAATCCTATGTACGACCTCTGTGACATCATGGTAATCATGGCCCTACACTACTCACAAAGGAGTAGTGTAGGGCCTCCCCCTTCCCCACATCGGACTCTCTGATCACATCACTGTCATGCTAATGCCAGCATACAGGCCCAGAGTGAAAGTTGCGAAACCGGTTCGGAAGGAGGTACGAGTGTGGCCGGAGGAGGCCATGTCTGCTCTTCAGGACT